TCACTGCTCCCCTCACTGCTCCCCTCACTGCTCCCCTCCAATGCCTGAGATGGTTTCCTGGCTTTTCCTTCTCCACAGAGAATTCCCAGCCCTGTCCTCTGACCCTTCAAGTCCTTCCTGCTCTAGATCAGCCTTTTTTTTTTTCTAGAGGAGTCTCCCTCTGTCGCCCAGGCTGGAGTGCAATGGCACGATCTTGGCTCACTGCAACCTCCACCTCCTGGGTTCAAGAGATTCTTCTGCCTCAGCCTCCCATGTCGATGGGATTACAGGCGCCTGCCACCATGCCTGGCTACTTTTTGCATTTTTAGTACAAATGGGGTTTCACCACATTGGCCAGGCTGGTCTCGAGCTCCGGACCTCAAGTGATCCTCCAGCCGCCACCTCTCGAAGTGCTGGGATTACAGACTTGAGCCGCCGCGCCCAGGCTAGATCAGCCATTTTCAGCCCGTTTTCTGCTGTGACAAACAGCACAAGTGCTGATCAACGGGGGCAAGTATAACTCCGGCCATCTCCCTCTCCCTCAAGAGCCAGGAAGGTCCACATAGATCTCAGAGTCTAGGGACTGCCCCTCAGAAGGGGTCTGACTTCAGACCTGAGGCCTGGGGGCGGGTAGGTGGTGACGGGAAAACCCAGCGCCCAGCACCATCTTCCCCACCCTTGAGGTGTCCTTTGTAGCTGGAGGTGGCTGCAGACAGGGTAACCTGGCTCAAGTGTTAGACCCCCCTCTGTAGAGACTCAGGTTCATCCACCCAGTATTTCTAGCAAGGAGAGTCACCCAGACTCGTTTTGTTTTGTTTTGTTTTGTTTTGTTTTTGAGAAGGAGTCCTGCTCTGTCACCCAGGCAGTAGCACGATCTCGGCTCACTGCAACCTCTGCCTCCTGGGTTCAAGCAGTTCTCCTGCCTCAGCCTCCTGAGTAGCTGGGATTACAGACGCACGCCACCACACTCAGCTAATTTTTGTACGTTTAGTAGACCCAGGGTTTCGCCAGGTTGGCTGGTCTCAAACTCCTGACCTCAACTGATCTGCCCACTTTGACCTCCCAAAGTGCTGGGATTACAGGGATGAGCCACCGCACCCAGCCTAGCCCAGCTTTGAATCTGGACTTTGCTACCTATCTGCTGTGTGACCTTGGGCAAGTTGCTTTATCTACAGATAGAAGCCACATGTCTCCACAGGAGGCCTTCCTCACCTTGACATTGTAAATTAGCAGCTAATTGACACTACAGGACAAGAGGAGACTAGAAATTGTCCTCCCTCACCCGCCCCCACTGAGACAAATGCACGTCTGGCTGCTTCCCCATGCATCTGTTTTTTTTTTTTTTTTTTTT